TAAGGAATACAGTATGGCCGCTTCCGGTCACTGTGACGTCATCACACAAGGACTGTCCACTATAAATACAATCAGGTCTTACTACTCAATTCATACAAACTATACTTACATGTACTTGACAAGGAACCACTTTTATAATAAAAATGTTTTGCATTGAATAATCTTTTAAAATCATATATCATCAGGGCATCTATTATTTTTAACCTATAAACATACTTATAAACAAATGACTAGATGGTAACATCACGACATAATTTCTGACTAGTAATAAACAACTTTCAATCGGGAAATTACACAGTTGCATATTTCACAAAATAGAGAATAATCATTCACTTATGGCATAAGTACCTAGTCTAATATGAATGTAAGACAAAAATATCATTACTCACATATATCAGACAAAAAGGCGTTTAGTACAACACGGCTGACACACGTCTTCACTGGTCAACATCTACTGTGAAAATACCGCCAAAAGATGGCCTACTGTACATTCGGTAAATTGACCAATCAATGGACAGATTCACAAGTGTAAAAAATGAATTATAAAAATTACTTACAGCCAAATACTATCGTTATTTCAGTTATTCAAAAAGGATTTAAACATAAAAATAATTTTCCTTTTCATAATTTGTAAACTTTATAAAAATTTCAATCTGAATCTTGAACCCGATGCAAAATATACTTCGCCCTCTTACACATTTCCCCCCTTTTGTCATTGCTTTCCACAGCAATGAAAAGGTTTTAAAAAAAATAAAAATTTTCTATCACAACATTCAGATATATACACAATTAAACACAATCAAATGAAATAACATAATTACATCTGATTTGGTAACTACATAATCACATCTGATTTTGTCTTGCCCACGAATCACTTAAAGTAGCACTTAATGTAGCACCAAGATTCACAATCGCATCACTTAGTTCTTTAAAATTTGTCGGTTCAGCGGAAATTTGATTGCACGGTAGGGTACTTTTAGGTAAGTTGAATGGGTTGGAATGTTTCCCTGCCGTCGTTCTCTTACTTCGTCAAGGTTGTGTCACTTCTACCGTCTCTTCTTCTGAATCTTCCCTGCTTGTTGAAGGAACACACGGTTTTTCTATCGCAGCTTCTTCCAAATTCTCGGCGGTTGCAGAATGTTCTTCCTCTTGAACTTGTACGGTCTGTTCTGGTATATACTCGAGGTCAGATTCTTCAGAACTGGAACATCCATCACTCGAATTCACTTTTTCAGCTGTGTCTAAGATCTCTTTCCTTGTCACATTCTTGATCGGGCCAGACCCATCTGCCAGCTGAATAGAATACACGTTATCACCAAGGTATTTCACAACTTTGTATGGAGTAGCACACCACGTATCCTGAATTTTGTTTCTTCCAAGAATGCGATTCCTTGTAAGAACTCTTGTTCCAACTGGAATGACCGAAACACTGGCTTTCTTGTTCTTCTGTTGATTCCGCTGTTCTGCAGATTTTTCTGTATTTGACAATGCCAACTTTGATGCTTCCAACATCTTCTTCTTATGGTCTTGTATCCAATCATCCATAGGTAAGTTTTCAATGTCATCATCTGAAGATTTGTGTAATCCAAGCATCAAATCGATGGGAAGAATTGGTTCTCGTCCGAAAAACAAAAAATGTGGAGAGTAACCGGTCGATGAATGAACAGTGGCATTGTAGATATACACCAAGTATGGAAGATATTCAGGCCATTTCCTTTTCTTTTCTGGAGGTAATGTTCTCAGTCTGTCATGCATGGTCCTATTGAATCTTTCACATTGTCCATTCCCTTCCGGATGATAAGGCGTTGTCCGGGATTTTTCAATGTTGTAGTAACTACACAGTTCTTGAACAATGAAACTCTCAAAATTGCGTCCCTGGTCACTATGGATACGCTTAGGGATTCCAAAATTCACAAACCAGTTTTTAACAAGAATTTTTGCGACAGTATTTGCTTTCTGGTCTTTACACGGTACAGCCTGGGTAAATTTAGAGAAAATGTCTGTCATAATTAACACATTCTCACGTCCATCAGATGATTTTTCTAACAGAGTAAAGTCAATGGCCAGAATTTCTTGAGGTTTGTACGCTATTAAATTACTCATTGTAGGCTTAATCGCTGGAATTGGAGCTTTCCCTATTAAACACCTTTCACAAGATTTACACCATTTCTGGACATCTTGTAGCATCCTTGGCCAAAAACATCTTTTCTTCAGCAAAGATTAAGTTCGTTCAACACCTTGATGACCTGCATGGTTGTGAATATTTTCCAGAACGGTCTTCTTCAGAACTTCAGGAAGTAATAGCTGTCTCTGTTCACCAGTCTCATCTGTGATCTTCCTGTACAAAACACAATTTTCAATGAAAAGTTTATCTCTCTGATTAAGAAGTTTTCTCACATCTTTGTGCTCCTTTTTCAAGTCATCAACCGAAATTTTATGATTTTCCTCCATCCAATATCTGATTCTGCTTAACTTCGGGTCATGATCTTGAAGTGCTGCTATGTCTGCAGGAATATACTCAGGAAGCGTTGTCATGGCGCTCAATGTCCGCATCTCAAAGTCTGTAGTCTCTGAATTCAACTGAGTCAGTAGACGGCTATCTAACATCTCTAATGATGTACTCTGAGTGATCCTATCTAAGGAAACTTTCACTTCTTCTTCCAGTGAAGTAGGTCTACGGCTTAACGCATCCGCGTTGCGATTCACCTTACCAGAGCGGTATTTCACTGTAAAATCAAACTGAGCTAGCTCTCCTATCCATCTCATCGTTGTTGCGTCTACTCGTTGCTTTGGTTTGTTGATGTAACTAAGCGGGTTATTGTCAGTGTAAATGATAAACTTCGATCCAAGGAGGTAATCACGAAATTTTTCACTAACTGACCACTTGAGTGCCAGAAGTTCAAGCTTCATAGAACTGTATCTTTCCATATTCTTCTCTGATTTCCGCAGTGATCTTGATGCGTAGGCTATCACAATCTTTCCATTAGGTCTCTCTTGAGATAAAACTGCTCCGAGTCCTTCAAAACTTGCGTCTATTTCCAAAATGAAATTCTGTGAAAAATCGGGAAATCCAAGAATCGGGGGTGAAACAAGTTTCTCCTTTAAGCTGTTAAACGACTTGGTACACTCGTCAGTCCATAACTTTTTAAACTGCTCTGCTTTTGGTTTGGTATTCCTTGGTCTTGATAGCAATGCATGAAGAGGAGCTGCTATGCTAGCGAATCCTTGGACGAATTTCCTATAGTAACTAGCTAGTCCGAGGAAGGAGCGGAGTTGCTTTTCAGTAGTTGGAATAGGCCACGATTCAATAACAGCTGTTTTCTCCGGGTCTGTAGATATCCCTTTTTCGGAAACAATATGTCCGAGAAATTTTGTTTCTTTCTGGAAGAAATGACATTTTGCTGGTTTAATTTTTAGTCCATTGGATTTCAGTTTAGTAAACACCTGATCTAATCTGTTGATATGTTCTTCTACTGTTCTTGAAAATACTAAGATGTCGTCCAAGTAGAGAACTAGTATGTTGAAATTTTCATCTCCAAGGCACGCCTCCATAAGTCTTTGGAAGGTTGCGGGACTGTTGCATAAGCCAAAAGGCATTCGAACATATTCATAGAGTCCACCAGAACCAACACGAAACGCAGTCTTGGGAATGTCTTCTTCTCTTACAGCCACTTGATGGTATCCTTGTATTAAGTCTATGCTACTGAAATATTTAGCTCCATTCAGAATATCCAAGGTATCCTCAATACGCGGTAGCGGATACGCGTCTTTGACAGTTTTTGAGTTGATTGCTCTATAATCTACACAGAGTCTTATGCTGTTGTCCTTCTTCCTGACAATCACAACAGGCGAAGCGTACGGACTGGTACTTTTGCGAATAATTCCCTGATTTAACAGTTTCTCTATATGTTGTTTCACTTCGGAAATCTGATTGGGCGGAATTCTCCTATGAGGAATTTTCACAGGTTGGTTATCTGTCAGCGTTATAGGATGAGTTACAGTTGTTGTGTATCCCAAATCTTCATCACTCCTTGCAAACACATCTTCATGTTTAGAAAATAGTTCAAGTAGTTTCTGTTTTTGTTCAGCTGATAATGGAACATTTCCAAGATCCAGTTTAGACATTAGATCAGAATTATCAGCATTTACAGTGTTGGTTGACACCGAGACACTACGAATGTTCAATTCTGTTGGTTCAATATCAACTGCATATTCTTGGTCAGAACTCTTCAAAATCTCGATCTGGTGTAGTGTACCAATATAAGTCTTTGGTTGAATCCAAACATCTTCTTCACCAATGTTCACCATCCTTACAGGAATTTTCCCACTATCCACAACACTAACAGTATCCACCACCAAAATATTCCGAGGTAGAGATCCATTCTCATTGGAAATAGGTTGAACGGCTGCTACATATGGGTTTCTTTTCTTATTTTGTCGTGTGGATCCTACTATGGTTTTCATAGAGTTCGCTGGAATTCTTACTGCTTCTCTTCCTGCCACTTTAACAAGTCCAATCTTCACATCCACTTCATTCTCAGCTAACGCTAGAACAGACATAACATTGTTCCATATAGGATCTTTCATAATAACATTATCACAATGACAGGCTGTTCTAATATGTTTCAGTACATTACATCCAAGAATAACTTGAACGCCATTTGGATCTGTTGTCACTGTTTCTATTAACATTCCAACATCACTGAATAGTTGATCCTGAATCTTTAATTCCACTTCAATATATCCAAGGTATGGAATTTGGATTTTGTTGGCTGCAGATAATCGTAGAAATTTTCTTGTGTCTGTAATATCTTTGTGATGTAAGAACTTTTTATAAAACATTTCAGATATAGTTGACACTTCTGCTCCGGTATCTAGGAGACATTTTACGGGTTGTCCGTTTAGTTCAATAGTAGTGACTGGACTGTTTCTTGCAGCATTTTTTATTTTCTCGTTTATATCACACGAGTCTTTCCCAATCCCCTCTAACAGGCGACTCTCTACTGTGAGGGATTTGCTTTTGGGTCGGTGTTTGGAAACTTCTGTCTCGGCTGTTGTTGCAGTCGTCTATCTTCTTTGTTCTGTGAGAATCCATTTTTACGATTTGGGCATTCTGATGAAAAATGTCCAAGTCCGTTACAGGCATAACAAACAATCTGATCTTGTCTTCTGATCCCTCGGCCACGTCCTCTGGACGGTACGGGTCTATTACCCCTCCGAGGTGAATCAGACTGTCGAGACTTTTGTACTGTTTGTGTAAGCGTATCAATCTGTTGTTGTTGTTTCTCTAACATCTCTTGTTGTTTCTTAAGTAGAGTCATTAATTCACTCTGTTCTGTATTTGGAGTAGGTACACATGATGTTTTCTTCACACTGAGATTCACACCAGGGTTGTCTTCTATCCATCGTAACATTTTAAGTCTGAATTCAAAAAATGGTACGTTGCCAGAGTCTAACACAACTTTTCTCAGTTCTTGTCGGGTGTTCTGATCTCTGATTCCATCAACAAATCTCTCGGTAAGCTTAACATCAGTCACTTGCTCTTTCTTATCTTTCTTGTTGATTTTCTGTGCCATCTCCATTAATACAAGAGAATATTTTTCTAATGTTTCATCCTGTTTTTGGTCTCGTTGATAAAATTTCTGGAGAAGTTGGGTAGTGGTTTCTTTGATTTCGAACACAGCCTCCAAGATGTCGAGAATTTGTTTTCCTGTTTTTCTCTCTGTATGAGGTCGAAGTTTCACTTCTGATTTTGCGGATCCAGTTAAATGGTCCATGATGAAATCTACGAAATCGTCTTTGGACTGTGTAGACTGTATATGTTCCCTCATGTCGGAAATCCACTCGTAAACATCTGGGTCTCCATCCTTAACTGGTCGACCTCCAAACTTAGGAAATTTTCGTTCGGACTTGACATACACTAAAGGTGTTGGTTTTTCTTTCGACTCGGTAGCTTTCAGTGAAGAAACTTTTCCTTGTAAATTTTTAATTTCTTGTTGCATGGCCGCATTTTCCTGCCTGTCTTGGTTTTCTCTCGTCTCCAAAATCTTTATTTTGTCCAACAATCCTTGGACGAGCTGTTCCATGCTGATGCACACTGTCGTCAATCACAAGAATCACAATCACAAGAATCCTGTCCACGACGCCATTTGTAACACAAGAGAATAATGTTCTCGTAGTTCTTTTATTCTTGATTTGAATGAGTATTCAAAAATTATGATGATTATGATGACAGTGGTCCTAAAATAAACAATACACAATTGAAAATGATAGTCATAAAAAAATAAATGTAAACAAGTACAATATCACCTCTTGACATTTCAATATTAGGAAAAAGTAATGTTCACTTCATTAAGAAATATTTATGACAGTCAGACTTCTATTACACTTTATCATACAGCATATAATCTAAGCAAGAAATAAATATGCAGTATATATAATAAGTAATAAAAAATGTACACAGCTCACAAACCTAAGTAAGGAATACAGTATGGCCGCTTCCGGTCACTGTGACGTCATCACACAAGGACTGTCCACTATAAATACAATCAGGTCTTACTACTCAATTCATACAAACTATACTTACATGTACTTGACAAGGAACCACTTTTATAATAAAAATGTTTTGCATTGAATAATCTTTTAAAATCATATATCATCAGGGCATCTATTATTTTTAACCTATAAACATACTTATAAACAAATGACTAGATGGTAACATCACGACATAATTTCTGACTAGTAATAAACAACTTTCAATCGGGAAATTAAGCAGTTGCATATTTCACAAAATATAGAATAATTATTCACTTGTGACATAAGTACCTAGTCTAATATGAATGCAAGACAAAAATATCATTACTCACATTTATCAGACAAAAAGGCGTTTAATACAACACGGCTGACACACGTCTTCACTGGTCAACATCTACTGTGAAAAATACCGCCAAAAGATGGCCTACTGTACATTCGGTAAATTGACCAATCAATGGACAGATTCACAAGCGTAAAAAATGAATTATAAAAATTACTTACAGCCAAATACTATCGTTATTTCAGTTATTCAAAAAGGATTTAAACATAAAAATAATTTTCCTTTTCATAATTTATAAACTTTATAAAAATTTCAATCTGAATCACAAAATTACAATGAAAAGTTACCCGATGCAAAATATACTTCGCCCTCTATTTAATATCATCAATTTTGCTTTGAGACTACAATCACTTATAAGTAGGCAGATCATTGTAGAAAAAGTGAACAAACCTACATGAATATTCCCTAAACCGAGAAATTCTCTTAATTGAATTTCAGTTAGAAAAAAAACATGCATATGGTCCACGTATTGCAGTCCTTTTTTAAAGGACAGCAACTTGTTGTAAGTTTTAGAGTTAAAACTCTAAAGTTAAATATTTCCCTCGGTACTAATGTACTAATACTGTACAGTCATGACCGGTCACGGTAGCCTAGTGGTAGAGCGTTCGCTTTGTGATTGGGAGGCCCGGGCTCGATTCTCGATCGCGGCGCTGCGTCGTACCTAAGACGTAAACAAAGGTAGTGACTGTTCCTTCGCCAAGCGCTCGGCACTAGAAGTGAAAGTCACGGGTCTTTCGGATATGACCTTAAAAACAAAGGTCCCATGTCACGGTAGGCGTTGGCACGATAAAGAACCCTCACTGCTCAATGGCCCTGAGTGCCGAGTATAGGTCTAAATTTGAAGCCCTTCACCGGCATCGGTGACGTCTCCATATGAGTGAAAAATTCTAAAGAGGGACGTTAAACAATATACAATCAATCAATTAACTGTACAGCCATGAGTAAATCAGAGGAACATGTGTCTCTGTTAAAAATTGACACGTAATATTTTTATTTTATTTCAACATATAGCTGTACATCTTTAATAGAATACACACTATGTAAAAAATAAATAATTATTTATGCAGGTTATTTCAGAAAAAAAAATAAAACAAACGAAAACATCGTAAAAATCTTTATGAGTCCACATGGAATTCTATTTCGTGTATGAAAATGGTTTCAAATAAGAATAAAGAGAAAGATTGATGATAAACATGAACAGAAAAAACTGCTTCAACTGTGGGTTACTGAAAACATCCATCATGGTAGAGTCAATTCGTTTCTGAATCCTCATATACTGAGAAGAAAAACCTGTCAACAACATAAGTAATATTTATATTTCTGTTATATCAAAAATGTTATAAGTTTCATTATTGCCTGTGAGGAATGCAGAATTACGCCGAAAAGTTATGTCACTCGACAGAAGTAGTTATAACACCACCCCCACCCCCCCCCCCAATCATCCTCACGTGCATTAATTATAAACTTAACAGATCGGGTTCGAGATTCCATGATGCTGGTTGCAACGTTAACGTAAACAATGGATCGTAATTCTTAACATCTTGAAAGTTTTTTTTGATTATTTGTTTAACTTTAACGAATTTAGAGGATGTTTTTTTTTACATTTTGAAAATTTGATATAATATTTTCTACAAGCCTTTTCTGTGACACTCTGTGAAAAACTTGGAACAAATATTCTGCTCATCGAATGTCATCATCGAAGCCATGTGATATTTTTGTGAAAGTCTTCTCTTATTCAAAACTTGTTTAATATAGAGCTGCCCCTTACAATAGGATAAAGTAAATACAACATAGATTAGGTAAGAGTGAATACCTAGTGACGTTTTATCATCATCTTCGTCCCGCTTACATATGTTGCTGATGTCGCATTAATAGTTCCCACTGTAGGATTCCAAGGTTTGCGCCAGTACTCCGGGTACCAGGGCCCGTTAAGGAAGGCTTCGTGACAATATCGAAACCACCAGCCTCCTCTCCACTCAACAGCACAGTTAGCACCAATATATTCGTCGTTATCCTTGTCTCTGGTTGTAAAGTACATTCCAGAGAGATTAGCCCACAAATACGGAGTGTGTAACATACTGTCACCTGTAGAATGAAAGCAGGAGAAATAACTACATTATGTAACTGAGATCATGCTTCATGTATTGTTAACCTTTGAACTAAATCGCACACATACCACTGTAATCAATCCCACTGTTGAAAAGCATCTCTACCAAGGTATATATTGAATAACTGATTATTATTTTTTCACACCGAGTTAGCAATATAAATTATTATACTTTCATGTTAAATACTAAATCTGATTGGTTTAGACGCAGTTGACAATCCCTTCGATTACCCTGAGCCTTAGCAACACACGTGATAACGGGTAACACAACGGTAATGCCACATGCGCTGAAATTATGCGCGTACGGTTCACTGTAGAATTCTCAAAACGTCAGTTGCGCGTTTGAAAGAACCGGAATTAACTTGACGTCAATAAAAGCTTGCGTCCGATATAGCTTACTTGAAAACAACAAACGACAGACGATACATGCTTGCGAGTGTAGGAAACATGCTTGTGAGCCAGAAATAACGAAACTTTATATGATAAATGACTCTAATTCGAGTATCAAACAAACAATAAGGAAATTAGTGAACCGGTGAGTGTGAAAGCTTTCTATACATGAACGTAAAGACGATCGACGGTTGTTTTCTTTTTCCTGACGTCCTAAATCATTCAGTATAATAAAGACATTCAGTATAATAAAATAAATGGTGCCTGTTTTGGAGGGTAACATTTGAAATTGATACCCCTAAGAAAACCATTGTCAACCTCCGCTGACGCCTCGGTTGACAATGGTTTTCCTTGGAGTGTCAATTTCAAATGTTACCCTCCAAAACAGGCACCATTTATATAATGTCAATGAATATAGTGGCCTAATTGATTTATCAGCTACTTTAAAAACTGGTTTTTTTTTTTACATAATACATATATGTCAAAATTACTTAGGTGTTACCGCCCTCACAATTTTAATGGTTCATATTTTAAATTTTCCAATTATTGCAAAAATGTATAGGTCACCATATTACTTAAGATGCGAAACATAAATTAAAAATGTGTATGTCAATACAAAAAAATCGCACATTTTTTTGTAAACATATTATTAAAAATATGTTAAAACTGGTTTACATGCATAATTCTAATGCCGAATGCTATTAGATACTTCCTACTTATAAAATACTTTTGAATTGTGAATATCAGGGAAACTATTTTAATTAAAAGTACAATTGAACAAATGCTTGAATAAAGGGACCTTAGAAGGAGTTATTGCCCTTGTTAACATTTTTTAAAAGTTGAATAATTGATTAAATAAAGAAAAAATGCATTTTTTTTTAAAATTCTTGTACTTAACAATATTTTTCATTACACCTATTATAAAGCATTCTTCAAAAATATATTGTTCTATTAGGTATAAATTGAAACTACATTTTTTGCAAAAATCTATGACATCATAGGAGGGTGGAATAACCTTATTTTGCATAAACAAACGGCAATCAAAGATTCTAAGATTGACGGTAATAAACTTTATAAATAAATGCTAAAATTATTGAACTTCATATGTGATTAAATTTCAATATTTTAAATAGTATGATGCCATTTTACAAGACGTACAGACAGATAAGATGTATTCCAACAAGCGCTACGATAAAGGTGTGAGATAAATTGAGACGGCACAGTTGAGATGTACTACGACAAGATACAGGTGTGAACACCATGAGAGTGTTGTATTTAGACACGATACAGGTGTGTTATACCTGATCACGGCACAGGTTAGGTATACTCCAAAATAAACCAGGTTTGATGTACCCAAATTTTTCCATCAGCGCACAATTTTAGTAAAATCAGAGCATTGTATGGGTGACAAATATTGAGATAACGAAGATGTTTTCTAGATAAAAATAACACAAACCATGAGCAGAGCAAACAACAACCTCTAAAACAACAGAGGTGGGATAAGGTGTCATGGAGGAGTGAGCTTCCCTTGCCACCGGTCACCACCGCCTTGTGTTCCTTCACATGATCAGGAAATAACGGAAAAACACATTCATAATGTGCATATATTGTCCAAAATAGTAAGTATAAAAAAGAGGCTCAGTGGCCATATCGCTCACCTGAGTACTGAGGCTAGGAAAAGGCAAAAAGCAGTTTAGTTAATGCATGAGTGGTCCCTTTGATCCCCTGGCAGTGTGGCCAATCCTTCCCCTGGTATTCATCATTTGAAAAAAACTGAATCTACACTACCTGAGGATGCTTCCACATGAGTTAATCTTATGCCCAATGGTTCTTGAGAAGAAGATTTTTAAAGATTTGCCCGATGTATACCTATGTTAAACTTTGACCCCCATAATGGCCCCACCCTAGCCCTGGGGTCATGATTTGAACAAACTTGAATTTACACTACCAGATGGTGCTTCAACACGAGTTTCATATTTCCTAGCCAAGTGGTTCTTGAGTAGAAGAATTTTAAAGACTTTCCCGATGTATTCCTATGTGAAACTTTGACCCCCATAATGGTCCCACCCTAACCCCTGGGGTCATGATTTGAACAAACCGGAATATACACTATCTGAGGATGCTTCGACATGATTGTTATCTTTCTTGGCCCAGTCGTTCTGAAGAAGAAGGTATTTAAAAGATGCCGTTGATTTTATAATAAAATTAATTATTATTATAATGATAACTAATTTATAATTATCTCCCCTTACATGTAGGAGAGGCATGACTCTTAATTTAAAGAAACCCTAATCCCCTTCACCCAAGAATACCTTGTGGGAAGTTTGGTTAAAAGTATGAAAGTTTACGACAGCGACAACGAGGACAAAAACAAGGACAGACAAGGAATA